CATCAGGCCTCTCGATTGGACCTAGTCCTAATTATATTGAAAATGAAGCTAAAAACAATTTTTTTTTTAAAGTTACCCACTGTGGATTTAAAACTAATTTAAATTACATGAATTATTAATATTTTTATATTTAATATTTGTTTTTATGTATATATGTGACCATAACCAAGGTTATTATAGTTTTCATTGACTGAAGTTAATAGAAATTAATGGGGAAAAACAACTAACTGTGACTACACAGTGCAGAGTTGACTGAAATACGTTTGATGTTTATGAATCTGTTAGTCTTTCAAACTGATGTCAGATTGATTTTTAAATCTTTAAAATTGACTAAAATTATTTTTACCTTTATTTACATTTTTTAATTAATTTCCCTCCATACAAGCAGTTTGTATCAGCTACTGTTCAACAATAATTGAATACATTTTTTGAAAATGGTATCTTCTGTTGAGCTTTCAGTACCCAATCAATGTAAACATGATCACAATCCAATACTCTGACCGTTTTTAGTTCTGCACCTAAAAATGAACCAAAATCTGAGAAAACTAAAACTATTACTATTTAAATAATAAGTAATAAAAACTTTCAAACACATTCTAAAAACTGTGACTGAAGTAGAACAAACAAGTCGCAACAAAATAAAACTGAACAGTGGAAAACTCTCCTGACCACAACTATACACATTTTCATCTCCATCATGTTTTACATTTTCACAAAGTTTACATAAAGCCATACAGCATAACTCATACAGTCAGTTTGATGGCATAGAGTCGTCACTCCTGTTGTTCTCTAAGTGCTTGTGTCAGAAATCCGGTCCTCCATAAAGCTCGACATGACATCTTTATTAGCATGGCGCTGATTTGTCCGTTCTTCCTGTAACACTGAGGAGCGACTCCTCACCATCTGACCCGACAGCCGTGGCGACACGCCAACACGACCCAGTCGGTGTGCGCCGGCTGCTTTTCCACCTGCAGTCACATGATTGTTCTGAAGGAGGTGCTGGTCCCGGTTTGATCCCCAAATTGTCGTTCCATCTTACAGCAGACTCACTTTGGAGTCACCTCCCCCAGTTGCCGTGGCGACGTCCACCTAAGCTCTTTGCCTCTGCGGGTTCTGGTCAGAGAACAGCATGCTAACACCAAACCAGGCACTCGTGTTACATAACATGTGGACAGAGCTCTTTTACCCACTCCGTCCCGTTGCCCAGACAGCACCCAGTGGAGCAGTGACATTACTGCTCACTGATCCTCAGTCACCAGGATTTACTGCCTTGAACTTTTGACTCATTTGTGATTTTATAGCCATTGGTTTTGTGTCACTTTGCAGGATTTTTAATGTGAGATACTGACCTGCTGTGGTACATAATTGGCAAGTGGAAGGTGAAGTCTACAAATGTTTAACAAGCTAAACTCTAAAGAGTGTAGCGTTCACATAGGACTGACGTACTGACCGGGTCCGCTGTCGTAGGTTTAATATTTGCAGGTTTTTCTATGGAACATGATTTGAGGAAAATTTGTCTGAAGAAAAACAGAAAACCTTTTTGAGAACATGATGGTCATGTTTTCTTTTATATGAGATGATGATGATATTTACTTAGTTTCCAGCCTAACAAATAGAAAAATAGATCTACGTTTAGTGTCATCCCATAAAAAAAAATTTCATTAAAAAAATCTTATCATTTCCAGTCAATGTTTTCTAAAGACTCACTGTGGAAAGGCCAAAGAGCCAGTTGTAGCTGCGGACCCACAGGTTGCAGATCTCTGGCTTAGATCGAATCAGATTCATATTAGAATGGCCTAGTCAAACTCCAAACCTGTCCAATTTCAAATCTGTGCAAGGATTTTGAGATTGACTCCCACCAACACTCTCAATTCAAGTAGAGTGTTTTAGATCAGATCACCTTATATTTTAACAGTTTAGAAACCATGAGGTATTTTTGTTCCACTTGATGAATATGTACTGTCTTGTGTGGGTCCATCGCATAAAATCTCAATGAATTACAGTAAACTGTTCCGTCGTAGCATGGCGATAAGGGGAGACGTTCATTGGGGTTTGCACACCGTCTTTGTCGCCTTTCACACTTGACCGACTCCCAAATTGCCAAAGTTTGAAGTATTTTAGATTCAGACAGATGCTTGGAGTCATGTAATATAGAGGTGGATGTGATGACGTTGGATTCTCGGGTTATGACTGTATCTAAGCCTCTGGTGTGTAACCTGAGTGTTGCCTGTTCGGCCTGCAGATAGCCGGTTTGCTTTAATGTGAGAACTGAGGACGTAGCGGAAACTCTGAGACCTGCTGACACTCGGCTCAACACAACAGGGAACACACAGCGGATGTCTCTGAAGATCACTCGCATCCTCTCGGGTCCGCACATATTCGCCGAGACACTGAGCCAAAGGCAGAAGTCTTCATCTGCTAGATCCAGCACTGGTCCAGCTGTGATGCCTCCACAACAGAATGAGCTCCATGTTTATTTAGCTGAGTGTATTTTTGAACAGTGGTAGATCACCATCGACCACTTTGCCACGGTGCAGCGTTCGATGAACATCGCCGGCCGCATTTCCCAGCTGATTGCCTCTACCGGCACTCTGGGACGGCAGAGCGAGAGAAACTCTGGAGCGAGTGTTTTTCGGCATGTGGGTGTGTGTGACTGTGCTGCGTGTGTGTGTGGGAGTTCATCAGCAGACTAACCATCCTCTTTTGTTCACTTTTAATGCGGAAAAAATGTATCCCCGCTTTTAGAACCAATGTAGGTCTACCTATAATTTGTCATCTCCTAGCAACAAGACTTTGAACAAACTAAATATATCCACTTGCCAAGGTGTCACTAAAGGCTCAACGATGCCAGTTATGAAGTGGTTGTTTTGAACACAGTGTGTGTGCATCCCGTTGTCTCAGCAGAGTTCTGTTTTATTTCACCAAATGGTTGATGTAGGACGTCATAGGAATGGTAGAGTTTTAGAAGCTGCTGAATTAAGTAACAAAACCTTTATATTTTTGATTTTGCATTCATAAGCAGAAAGCTTTGAGATCAGAGTGTCTCCACCAGTTGAGGGCAGGCAGCATGGATGGAGCGAACCTGTTCACCCCTTCACCTTCAAAACTCTTCACACTGCAAGTCAGTGGGTCTGAGGACAGGGGGGGTCATCATGATTAATGTTTGTTTTTGTTTGTTTAGGGATTTCTTGATCCTTTTTTTATGGTTTTGGTCATGTATGGTTTTTATTTATGTTTTTTATTGTGTTTTATTTGGGTTAGAGTTCCAGTGTTGGTCATTGACAGAGCAAACTTGTACTATTATGTCATTATTAAGACATTATTTGAAAATGGTCTCAAGACAACAATATTATCGTTTCTCGCGATAATTACTGGGACAATTTATCATCCAGCAAAATTTATTATCATGACAGGCTGAGTCTATTCCTTAAAGGGGCGGTGTCATGTACTTTCCAGCCACATACCATTGGATAGAACAATCAAGCAACTATGAAAACTATGTTACCTTCAGTTGTTATAAAAGTGCTGTATGTGTTAAATATGTCCTAAAAGAAATTTGACTTTGTGTTTTAACACCTTGAATTTGGGTCTCTGTCTCTTTAAAAACTCCTGCTTTTTCTGAAACTTCGCCTTCAGGGAGTCATCGCAACACGGTTCCTCTATTAACTCTTTAACGTTTTTACCAGCGTTTCACTGAGAAGTAGCTCCTATAATGAGCTCAGCAGGTGTTTGCTAATTTTTCCGGCTAGTCTGAAGGAGTGGGGAGTCACGGAAAGGGCTGCGTTTTGCACAGCTGAATGGTTGCCATGGGAGATTAACATATTTCTCAAACCTGCATGAAAGAATCAACACAACACTCCAAGTGCGTCTCTGATGAGCGAGTGACATCATGACATGATGTAACGCTAAGAAAATATTTTATATAATTCTCCCTCTTTAAACTGAATTTTGTGGCTATAAAGTGATAAAATGTGACAAAGTTCAATGCCACTATAGATTATTAATTTTATATAAGACGAGCAGTTCAGTCTGAACTTTAATCCAGTTGTAAAACAGAACAAGTTGTTTTTAGAAACAAAGTTAGAAAACTCTCTCATGTAGACTCTTTTTGATGAGAGGTGAAGTGTGCTTCATCCGGACTTGGAGCTGAATGCCACCAACCACCTCTCATCTCTCCTCTGGGGCCCCCAGCTTCCACAGGGCCCCTCTTTGTCCTGCTCTCTCTCTCTGCCACTGTACTCAGCAGCCCAGCTCACCGGTAGCAGCGAACGCGGCTCCGCTCTGCCATCAGGCTGTCACAGCGCCGGTGACTCATGGTGTTTATCGCAGCCGCGGGCGTGACACTAGAAAGCATACACCAGCCGGCCCCATGCATCTGCGCTGCGGCCTGAGCGTGTGCCGCTGTGAAACCGAAAAGAGCCGTCACCAGGCGATTGTGGGCTCACTCCGTCAGGCTTGTTGTTTACAGCAGATCGTTGCGTCTCAATCAGCGGCGGAGCCAAACGTGGGGCCACTTCAGGAGCTGGTGGCACACGGCAGGGAAATCCAATTGAAGTCACTCTGTGTTTCCTGATTGGCTGTGACAGCAGGGATGGTGTATCTACTTGACAACGGACGTCTGTGTGTGTTTGACACTGTTTTCTAAAACAAACAAGTTCTTCATGCATGAGATTAAAAGGAGGGGAATCAGTTTGATATTTAGAATTAAGCTCTCCATCTCTCTCTCTGTCTCTCTCTCCATCTCTGTCTCTCTCTCCATCTCTGTCTCTCTCCATCTCTCTCTCTGTCTCTCTGTCTTTCTCTCCGTCTCTCTCCATCTCTCTCTGTCTCTCTCTCTGTCTTTCTCTCCGTCTCTCTCCATCTCTCTCTCTGTCAAAAAATGTCTGAAGAAAACCCGTTTTGTCTCTGAGGAGCTGTGTGATTTTCTAATCCTGGTCTGAAGGATTTGATGAACATTGATGTAAAGATGTGCTCTCTTGTTTTTGTCTCCTGTCTCTCAGACGTGCTGGTGAACGGGAAGCCATGCGACTGCGATGTGGTGGCAGACTGCAGAGTGGGCGACGCCGTGACCCTGGAGGTTAAACTGACCAACCTGAACAAGAACCCGGTGGGCCCGCTGTCTCTGACCGTGATGCCGTATCAGGACTACCAGAACGGGGTCCAAAACTACGACCTGGACGAAGCGGTCACCTTCGTCGGCTCAAACACCTTTTTCATCGACGTGGTCAGTCTGTTTCAGAACAAACCCTGTAGACCAGGGGTGTCAAACTCCAGTCCTCAAGGGCCGCTGTCCTGCAACTTTTAGATGTGCCTCTGCTGCACCACACCTGAAAAGAATAATTGGGTCATTAGCAAGGCTCAGGAGAACCGATCTACACAGGGAGGAGGTAATTAAGCCATTTCATTCCACTGTTTTTTACCTGTGGCACATCTAAACACTGCAGGACAGCGGCCCTTGAGGACTGGAGTTTGACACCCCTGCTGTAGACGGTTGGGTCAGTAAAGCCACAGGCGGTTTGCAAAAAGTATTCATACTGGTTGAAACGTCAGTTTATGTTTTAAGATGTTAATTGGTGGACCAACTTAAATCAGATCATTCAACTCTCTTTATTTACAGTAACTGTGTTTCTGTTACAAAACCTTTGTAGTTTTTAATTGGTGTTTATGATTAAGGGAGAAAAAAAATCTGAACACTTGAATGTGACAAACATGCAAAAAAATAAAAATGTAATCAGGAAGGGTGCAAACACTTTTTCACTCCACTGTATATAGCAACAATTTATAACAAATGTTTACTTGAAGCACTTTACAATACACACACATAAGTGATGGAAAAAAATCCTAGAAACATGTTTAAGGGATTGAAATAAAATATCCTGGTTTAAAATAACACAGAGGTTCTTAACTGTATTATTGGAGGTCAGTGTAAAAACTGTTGACGAAGGTCAGAAGGTCAGAAGGTCAGAGGTTTTTTCCCAATTGGAATAATTGGAAAATATATCATAAAAAGAACTGGTCCAAGCACGGAGCCCTGTGGTTCTCCACCAGTAACCCTGAAACAGAATTATTGTTCACATGAACAAACTGGAGTCTGTCAGACAGATGGGATTTAAACCAGCCTATGACTGTTCCTTTAATACATACAACATATTCAATCCCTTCTAAAGGAAAATCATGACTGACCATCAAAAGCTGAACTGGTTCTACCAAGATACAGGTCCAATATCTGACACCAAGCCGCCGGACTGGACCATGGTGTTACTGTTTAAATGCTCACACACCTGACCAGCTACCACCTTTTAGATAAAAAAAAAAATGAAGATCAGATGTAGATCTGTAATTTATTAGTTCATATTGATCGATTGAAGGTTTGCAGTAAGCTTCCTTAAAGCCTCCGTTTGCTAAGGATAGGCCGATCGTTTCAAACGGAACGTTTCTTTAAATAATTAGATCTGGCTAAGGTTGATGTTTTTCAAACAGCTGATATTTATGATAAGTCAGGAAGCTCAACTGACTCCAAACACAGATCAGCCTCTGTAGTTACATCCTGTGCTGCATGAAGTAACCAGTTTGGAAAACCTTTAATTGAATCTTTATTAGCAAACTTGACCAATAAAGATGATGCTGGTTTTAAAAACACACAACTTATTCCACTCATTTAAAGTTAAAAGTGGGTTAAGAGGAAGTAAAAAATAAAAGCCACAACAAAGTTTAATCTTTAAAAAGACAACAAGATGTCAGTGAATACAGAACGGGTTCGAATTAAGAGCTAACCGCTTCTAATTGGTGTCAGGATGAGGGACTGAGAGCGTTCACGTTGTGTTTCCAAGCTGAATTACCATGGTAACGTGCTGAGGAGACAGACACATGCTCCGGTTCATCCGGGCCCGATGCCGACATGCAGCCTGATGTTGGACAGCTGGCTTGGCGAGGAACCTCGAAATAAATTAGGCTTATTTCAACATGTCTGCACAACACACACACACACACACATATGTATGTGTGTGCATGTGTGACACAGAACTGTTTTTAGAAATAAAGAGAAACCAGTTAAAGAGCAATAAAAGTATTTGTTGGCAGTGAAACTCCTACAGTTCAACTGTGTTGCTTAAAATCCTTAAACTAAAAGCTTTAGCACAGAATGGATCCAAGAAGCGAGCGAAAGAAAGAAAAAACCTTTTCTGAGTGTCAAACACACTGCAGGCGGATGAAAGAGACTGTTAGGAACAAAACAAAGAGCTTAGAGTCTGAAAAGAAGATGAAAGGATGAAAAAAGAATCCCAGTGAACGTGTGAGCAGCTTAATTTTGGTGATTGTTCTCACCTTTTTTTCTCTTTTTACAGCAAAAGCAACATCTCACTCTTACCATGGAGATGTTGGAGATAGAAGAAAATAGGAGTAAATTTCATCTAAAAACTCAGAAAACTGTATTATTGAAATTCCTAAGAACCTGAAGCCAAAAGTTTACTTTAAAAAAAACTCAGAAATGTTGAGATCAATCTCAACAATCTTCAGAAAAAACTTGGAAATCTCTGAGCTCTGAACATCAGACATTTGTGAGGAAAAAAAACTTTTTGAGGATAAATTTTGATATTGATCCCAAAAATTTTCTAGGAAGAACTTCAAATATTCTGAGTTTAAGAAGTTGTAAATTTTTTTTCTTTTCTATCTACAATGGTCTTAACACACTGTCATCCTCTCTGCTGGTGTGCCCGGTTTAATTCATAGTCAAAAATACTTTATGAATCCCCAGGGGAAATGTTGTAACTCATTAATTAAGACTCATCAAAGATTTGTTGAAGATTGTTCATGTAGAAATGACAGCAGGGTGTCCGCTAACGGCTCTTGTTTCCGTCGCAGGTTAAACCCAGGGAGAGCTCGGTGTGTGAGGGCGCCCTGCTCTTCCTCTACACCGGAGACTTCTACCTCAACATGAAGGTTCAGGACGACAGCGCCCGGCGGGAGCTTCCTCTGGCCTGGTTCACCCTGCCTGGCGTCCACGTCAGAGCCCAGGACACGCCGCTGCAGGCCGGGGCCTAACGGACCCAAACAGCTAAACGTAGCACAACGTGGTGCAGCTGTAACAGCCTGGATGTGACTTCGTTACAGGTTTCTGCTTCTGTTTGAAGGAATCGAGACAACCTGCTCACCGGAGGACATGTTTTCAAAAGCTAAACTGACACTGATGATGAAAACCAAACTGACTTTGTCTTTCATTACAGGACGCAGGAGTTAGCTTAGCGCTGTGAGCTCTGCTGAACCTCTAGACACATTTAGCTGTAAGAGTCGGCTTCCTAACCGAGAGCCAACATGATGAAACGTTTTATCCCCTCTGTGAAACCGTTCTGTTTCAACAACTCTATTCTTATTTATTTTTTTTTTCTTTTGTTTACTGCTGCAGAATCATAAGGCATTGAGATATTGATTTATTTAATTAGCTGTGTGACTGGACTGATTATGCTGATGATAAACTGCTGTAAATAAATGCTAGAAAAAGCAACATGTTGGTCAGTTTGCTTTGTTTCAGCCGTCAAACAGTCTTAGTGTTTTTGATCACATCCGGTCAATCAGTAAATCTGTCGGTCAATCAATCAATCGTTACCAGACAAAAATAGGAGTAAAACAAACGCATACAAAAAGATAAAATAGATAACAGCTCTTAAAAAACCCACAGCAACCAATACCTGACGTTTTGTCAACTAACTGACTAGTGGGGGAAAAACTAACATTACAAAAGAAACTTAAGCAGTTGATATTATGCTGAACTTATTTATTGGTTTTCAGTGTTTATCTTTCAGGTTTTGGGGTTCAGACTCCTTCAGACTAGCCAGCTGCAATTAGCAAACACCTGGTGGAGCTGAGCGTCTGCTGAGCTCATTATAGGAGCTACTGCTCAGTGAGATACTGGTAAAAACATTGTTCAAGTGTCATAGAGGAGCCATGTTGTGATGACTTCCTGAAGGTGGAGTTTCAGAAAGAGCAAAAGTTTCTTAAAGAGACAGAGGTCCAATTTGAAGGTGTTAAATTAGGAACTCAAATTTCATTTAAGTCATGTTTGAGATATATGATTTTTATAACAACTGAAGGTAACATAGTGACTTGTCTGTGCTGTAAAATGTCACTGTGTTTGGTGAACACATAACACTGCTACTGTAAAACACACAACTCTTCTGCAGCATTTGTCATGACATTAACTTTGGTAATGAGGCAGTGGTGGCTGAAAACCGTGTGTATTAAAGACAAAAAGAATAAAAAGCTGTAGATTAGGTTTGATGTTGTTTCCAAATCCTTGGTTCCAGCTTCAGACTCCAGTGGAACACAGTCAGAAGCCACTTCCTCCTCCTCACCTTCCTGTTCATATTTTGAATTCTCAAAACTTTTCTTCTGTTACTTAAAAAAATAAAATAAAATTTCTTATCGGACGTCATCGCTTCATCATCAGGCACTCAGTGTTGATATTCCGACCAGCGTCGGTTATCAATCAGTTTGTGTGTGTGTGTGTGTTTGGGCTGTTTCCACTGAGAACTGAACCTGGGCAGATGGAATCCCCCCAGGACCGCAGCTGAAGAGTCCAACAAGCAGCAGGAATCTTCATGCAAACGAACTTCCAAAGGAAGCAGTTCAGTCAAATCCGTCTCTTCGTCCCGGTGACTTCGACATGCAGACCATCAGAGGAGCGCAGCAGA